ATTCTTGAATCGCATGATGAGAGTCATTTATTGAGTCAATACTCACACAATCTTCCAGCTAAGAATCTACTTGGACGTTATCATCCCACAAATCAGTATCCTCCTATGCCTGGTATGATTACAATAGTGGAATTACAGCATCATACCAGTGAAGATATATCTCATCATTCATATCTTCCGATATCACTCTAGCATCTCAACAGGCTATACTTAGTTAATCCAGTTCAATCCACTCATAATCAAGTAGATAGTTCACTACTAATTAGAGTAGTTAATATATTACTATGGTAAGATGGTCTGAGTGGTAATAGAAGCAAAAGGTAGAACCCACACAAGTGTACCTTATTATCATTTCCTAGACTACCAGTGGAGGTAAGAATTATAAATAGCCGCTACTAATAATATTAAATTACTAATCTCCTGATTTAGCTTAATCGTAGCCATTAGAGATACCGATTTGTCAGTGTTGCCAAAGATTCTGTTGGCATCAAGGTTTTATTCTTAATCATTGATAATATGAAGCAACTACATAATGGAATCATAGGATATAATGCTTCCAACAATTAGTATACTGTTTTAACTGGATCAGCTCTCATAGTTAAAGGTGATAATCCTGCAACCTCAGAATTGGCAAACCATTCTTAGAAAAGTAACTATCCCTGTCAGGTCTGTTTATATGATAAACGTCAAATAATGAATACTAACAATGATGCAAATTCTCAAAAGGGTTTAAAGCCTGAAGATTTTCGAAACTTGCATCAAATAATTTCAACTCTAATGGAATGAATTGTAGATCCAAGTATTAAACCACCTGCTATTAATGGCTTGAAGATCAGTAATGGTCTGAGTCTCTTATATCTATTGACTGGATTTTATCCCTTTCAAGACCAGCTATACAAATGCCCTCATACATGGCTTTTGGAGCCTTTAAAGAATATAATCCTGGCAGTACTTAATTGGTCACCAGCTAAGAAAATACGAGAACATTTGAAAGTATTTATCAATGCACTTAATTGGGAAGGCTTTGATGAACGACTTACAGGATGGCAAGTAGTACACTAGAGTGGGTCCTTTGTTGGAAAAGATTTTAAAATCTTAATTCAGGTTTTACCACTAATTTTGTTCTACTTCTTTGGAACAGAGACTTTAAACATTAACTATGCTGGCTTGGATCGTTCTCAAAATCCTAGTAATAATCAAGAAATATCAATTGTTCTTAAACTAGTTACTTTTATAGCTACTATAACCAAGTTGTTATATCAAGATTCTGTCCTTGACCTTGAAGCTTGGGCAAAAAACTTGGATTTTAATGCTCACCAGATGATTAAGCTTATCACAAGCTGGAGAGAAATAGTTATGGGTCCTAATCAAGGAAGTACAAGAAGATATCAGGCTTTAAAGGCTCCAATTGATCTACCAATAAAGCCAAAATACCACCTACTCTGTCATGCCAAGCTTTAGATTCAAAGATATGCCATTTTATCTAACTTACATGTAGAAACAGAGGAGAGTATAAATGCAGAAATCTGTTCAAGTCTGGAACATAGAAATCAACAAGCACCTAGTAAGGATCTTGCTTATCATTACGCTAGTGTCAAAGGATTATGATTTGTTACACAAGGTGGGATGTGGGTAGATATACAATCTGCATACTTACAAGTAGCAGGAGAAGCACTACAGATACTCTGTGCCAATTCAACAATGAAGGAACTTTTAGGAGTTCATTGTAACTCTTTGGTGCAAGATACTCACCTCATTGGACTATACTGCCCTGATAGTCTTCCAGTATATCAACAGAGAGTACTTGAGGATTGGTTATCAAGTTACTTACCAAACTGAATTTTATTAAGTAAACATAAAATATATGAGAGGGCAAGAATTCATGCATTTGTTCTTAAAGCAGGCACTTTATTTATCTTATTTAAGAACAAAATATATCAGGTAGCTAAGATCCTAAAGATTTTAGCTCAAGGCAGTTCAATCTTTCAGGTAGAAGAGTTAGAAGTAGTACTCTTGGAATGTTTTAAAGTGCGATACAAAAGCACTGTAATTGGAGATCTTGAGTGTTTATACCTCATCAAAGAAAAGTTTCATGTTATTGAAATGCATGAATATTTTCAATTAATCAATACACAGCATCTTTGTACAATGAATTGTGGAATGAGAAAGGGCAATAGTGTTTATCAAGTGGAGAGAGAGCATATTGAAGGGATGATTTGAACTCATGATAACTCAGATGTATTTCTGATTAATTTATTCAAGCTTTAACAATGTGGCTCTTATTTTAACAATGGTTTATTGCTATTTTTTTATGTCTATCCAATTTCCTTGAATTATATACCTACTGCTTTGACATAAATTTACAATTTCTCTCGACCTTGTATTACTATACTTTGTGGCTGTAACTTTTAAAATCAGAATAAAGTCAAGTCTGAAAACAGGTACTACTATCAGGTGATTTCAGATGATTTCAAGTCATCTGGTCTCAGATGATGAAATCATCTGATTATCCATGACAAAAACCTGTTTTGATATCAGATGTTGATGTCAGGTGTTGTAAGAAACAAAAGTTTTATCAGGCGATATAATCTGAGAAAATCCTTATCCTCTGATGGAACATGATACTGATCCAGGGGTGTACTATCATACGGGTGTCATAGTTACTCAGTCATTTTCTTTATGGCATTTGTGGCTCATCCCGGACTCAAGCATTGCGATACTAATTTTTTCCTTCTCCTTCCCAACACTGTAGACAGTTGGCAAATAAATTAACTAGGAAAGAAGCTTTAGCCTTCCTATAAACTGTAAAAAGGTCTAATCACCAGCAGATGTGAGCGAGGCGCTGGCACGTTGAAATAAGAAGTGGCTGGGGCGAACTATAGGCTTGCGTCAAAATTAGAGCCGTAAAAGACCTAGACTACTGGTACCAGGGGACTGAGATCTCAGCGGAGCCACTCTACTAAACCATGGATGGATTAACAGAGTAAGTTAGCCAAATAACGACAACCAGTTAATGAGATCCAGCAAGCTCAGCCTTCCCCAAGTTATTCCCCGCCCGGAATACAACTATCCTTACCCGGGAGCTCCGCCCCGGTCGGGGGGAGATCTGAGGATCCAATAAGTCCCCACTAGCCACAGCCACCCAAGGCGAGAATGGCCTATGATTGCCATCCCGAGACAAAACAAGGATACGATAAAACTCCCATTCGAACGCATCATACCAGTTCCCGATGGCTCCCCCCCAGATTGTTATCAGACCATACTCGAGCACACCACTGCACCTAAACCCCCATCAACTGCAGCGTTAATCCAAAGCACGATATCACACACTTCAAACCGCCACGAATCCAACATAACCAACCGCAATACCCTTTATATATAGCGTTCTACCCAAGGGCGAGGTGTTTATTAGTTATGATAGATTCAAGGAAGCCCGGAGAACAAGCATACCTCTTACTGTGATACTCCCCCCCCCCCAACCCCAGCAAGTATGATAACCAGCCATCCAAACGTTCCAGCCGGTCAAACCGCTAATGTATCGATGTTGAAATTTGCCATTTACTGCCGACTTCATGGTGGGGATCGTTTAAAGTTGTGTATGCCATGCTATTCTTTTTTTCTTTTCTTTTTGCAACGAAGTTGGCATGTCAAGCGAGTGATAGGAGGTGATTTTCCCAGTGCCGGGGTAGGTCGAGGACGGAGGCGGCGGGGAAGACCAGCGAGCCCGCGGGAGCATAATATCATAAGCAGGGTTATATCATAATATATCATCATACGGGCGATTGGCAAATTACGGCAAAACTGCGATTGGTGGCTGAGTGCTGCATTCCTAAAGTCCACTTATTTTTCTTTTTTCTTTTTTCTTTTTACAATGTCGTGATATATATAATTGCCTAGCTAGGAGGGATAGAAAGGTAAAAAGAGAGAAGAAAATAATAATTTTGTATCGAATCCAAGCAAGAAAAGAAAACATCAACAAGGATTTACTATTAGGAGGAGTTATCATACCGGTACATGATGACGAGATTCCGGCGTTGGATTGCCGGCTTTCGCAGCAGCATACGCAAGGCCAATCGTATCATACCGATTATGATAACTTTACGGCGAGCATTCACTTTCTGGCCGGGAAGGGTGGCCGTCTCGGACCGACATGGGACAAAGTGGCTGACGCCCTACGGCATATAATATCATACCTCCAAGCTCCAAAACTCAAACCCCGCCCAACAAATCTCACCGTATGACAAAATACTGTATATCATACCGCATTCATGAATTAACAACCTAAACTCCAAAACACCGCCCCTCCACTCACTCACTCACTCATTCACTCACTCACTACTCCTCACCCCAATCGCCAACACCAACAACTTCCCCCCTAACCCCGCCAATCCCGACCCCAACCCACGCAGCGCACCCCGCCAGCAAAGCCCCGACTCGTCCCTCCTCCCCGGCTTTGACAGAAATCACCACGACCGGGCCATCCTTTAGCGCCTCCTTGCGTGACGTGCCCCGTGCGACGCACTCGATCCGGCTGAAGGGTATGCCGTGCTTGTTCAGGAAGAGGACTATGCGATCGTAGAGGGCTCCCGTGAAGAATGGGGGCGGGGGGATGGCGTAGGAGGTGGTGGGTGGTGGGGTCGTTTTTATCATGGCTTTGTTGTTTGGGGAGAGGGAGAAAGGAGGGTCATGGAGGGACGGAGTTGCACCTGCTCAGGTACTTGTATCATGGCCCGCATAACACGCCGTGGAGCTGCACAGTATGCGCGTTCGCTTGTATCACATTGCACTATACGAGCATGAGATGTGATAATGGTTAAATAGCAGATGTATTTCAAAATGCGAAAAGAATGCAAGATATAGCTTTCCAGGAAAAAGGGGGCACGAAGAATAGTGAAAAAAAAGTATACCCAGCAAATGCGCCTGCCAACCTAGAACAACACCACTATTCGACCATAATACAATTACCAAAGAAAGTGCCAGCGAGCATAAAGGAAAGCAATCTACTCATCGTCACTACAAACGGCCCTCTTCCCCCTCTTCGCGCGGTTAAAGGTGGCTTTGGGCACAGGTGTGGGCACAGGTTTCCCTCTCAGGTTCTTTGGCAGCCGGTTGACCGTTTTCTTCGGCGGGAGCATGATTGTCTTCTTGGGAGCCCACTTCCCCAGCATCCGCCCAACGTCTAGAAAACCTTCGCCTTCCTCCTCGCCGTCATCGTCCTCCGGTATGATTGTCTTCTTGGGAGCCCACTTCTCCAGCATCTGTCCAACGTCTAGAAAATCTTCGCCTTCCTCCTCGCCGTCCTCATCCCCCGAAGTGCCTGTAGCGAACTTTCTCCGCCTCTTGGGAACTCCGACGTCGCTGTCGGTGTCACTAGAGATGGAGTCCGCGTCCGAGGCCATGCGTACGTCGTCGTCGTCCTCCCGAGAACTAACTAGATCGATCATTGGCGGTGCGTCGGCCATTTCCACGTCTGGCGGGGAGGTGCTCCCTCGTTTTCGCTTGGGTACAAACGTTTGCCTCGGTTTCGGGGCGTTGCCGGGGCGCTCAGAAAGACCTGGCTTGTTCCTTGGCACCACCGGTTTAAAGGCTTTTGTTAGGTGCTTCCTCGCCGGTTCTGGGGGCGGGGCTGCGAGGGCCATATCAAGGTTGGATTTGTATTTCTGTATTACTTCCTCGTCCATATCGTGCATCCTTTGTAAAGCTCTCGCCGTGGATATAGTGGCGCGACCGTGTTGGACATGGTGAGTTTTCGTGAGAGTTCTCTGGCGCCCCGGGAATGCGTCCGCTCGAGGTGGGTTGACAACCAGGACTCCGTCGTCGACGCCGCTCCAGTCTGTTTGGTATGTTCTTTGGAGCTTCTTCTCTTCGCTTCTGGTCAATAGGCCGGTTTCCGGATCAAGGATGTCCGGCGCTGGAGACTCCTTCTCAACAGGTGTATCATCTTCCTCATCCTCCTGATCAGACTCCTTTCCTATCCTAGACGCCCTCACGAAGCCGGTTTTGACCCCATCGGGCATGAGAAACTTTTTTGTAACCTTAGTCTGCTTCCCCTTCCCTTTTAACTTCCGCTTTGGAGGCTCGGGTTGGGTATTCTCGGCAGGTATCTCAATGACCTTTCTATCAACCACACACTCAATATCCCTCGGTACAATACGTGGTGATAAATCATGATGGTAGTTGAATCGTTTTCCGGACTCAATCTCGCCTTGAATGAATTCGTGATCCCTCGTTGCCCTTTTGAAATTATCTTCTTCCTTGCCCTGGGTGAGGAGGATATGGACGTGACCATCCCGTTTACGACCTGTTCTTCCCATCCGTTGAAGCTTTGCTTATCCTTAGTAACCGATCAAAAATGCGAGAGAAGACACCAATTTACCAGTCGAATTGAGGACCCTTGTTGATCATAGCAAATGATCATATCAACTTCCCCAATATCCAAGCCTTCTTCTCCAATACTGGTGGCTACTATGACATTGTAAATTCCCACTTGAAAGTCTTTAATCACCTAACCCCAAAGTCAGTTCCATCAACCTCCGCGAGGTCAAAGTATTAGCTACCTCTATCTGGTCCTTCTGTTTCATCCCTTCGACCCCCTTCCCATCTGCCTGCCCAACAAAGATATGCGGCTTGACAATAGGTTGGTGCTTGCTCAGAACTCGTACGATCTCTTCGGCACTGCTCCGATAACTCGTAAAGATCATGATTCTAGTCTCCCTTTTGGTCTCCGCATCCTCAGCATCGAAAAAATGCTTCAGCACAACGGACGCCAGATAGTCAAGCTTGGGATGCCCAGAGTATTCCTTATTCGAAACAAGCTCTTGGCACTTCCCCATGACCTTGCGGAAGTTCTCGTCATTTATTATGCCCTTTTTAGTCTTACCCCCTTTAGGGTTGGAAAAAACTTCTGCCTGTACCTCAGACAGTTTGTTGAAAAACACCCGAACTCCGTGCTCCGTCAAGAAATGCAAAGGAAGTGCTAGAGATGACAGCGTAGAAAAGGCATTTAGCATCATTCCTTTTAAGGCTGGATTAGCATCTCTTCCCGCATTAGACGTCATCCACTCCCGGCCAGCTTGTTGAACGCCAAACATCGATATTGCTTTGATATCCGTTACCCTGTATGCCCTAGCATCATTTAGCTTTTTGAGTAGAGGTTCCAGGCACTTGCAGTACAAGTCACGCAGCTCAACCATTTCATCGGTGAGTTCAAAGACCTGGAGATGTTGGAACCTCTTGTAAACATACGGTCGAATATCAAGGGATTCCAAGTTCCTGATCTCCGTCCCTGCAATGCCGCAAGAGTCGATGACCGCCTGGACCTTATCAATCGTCGAACCAGGTGTAGCTGTTAGAGCTAAAACGCGGAAGCTGTTGTTCACCCTCCGCAAGAGCTTTACTACTTGAACATATGCGTAGTTACCAGTAGCTCTGTGGGCTTCGTCAATTACCAGACAGACGATTCTTTTTGCGTCACAAATCCCCCTTGCTATGTCGTTCTGCATCGTCTGTGGAGTAAGAAAGAAGACTCTCTTCTCTTCCCAATAGTCCCGACGCTGCTGAACACCGACGTTGCCAGTCATCTCTGCAGTTGCACTCCTGGGTATCCCAACGATGTTGAAACAAGCATCAATCTGCTGCGCCACTAGCGGCTTCGTAGGCGCCAAAAAGGCAATCTGACCCTCAGGCGCCCAGCGGAAAAAATTAAGTATGACCGTTGCCGCAATCAATGTTTTACCAAGACCTAGAGGAAACCAACCAGTCAGCCTCCTCCAAAGCAGGAGAAAGAGCCTTAGGCAGCAAGATGAGGGGACAAACCCGTTGGGAGTGCCACCAGCACATTGGAGAAAAGCGCTCTGGAGACAATGGAATACTGGTAATCTCGATGAGGAATGTTTGCTGGGTAAATCCACGTCTTTGCCGCTTCTCTGTCAATCTTGTGATGTGTTGGCGGTTCCTGCGTACTCACAAGAGGCCAACTACGCAGAACCGGGGTAGACGAAGGTTGACTGCCATTCTCCTCGACAATACCTCCGAACAGCGTACTCTGTCGAAAGCCCCCGCTAGAAGAACGAACGAGCGAGGTACGTGCCACCGGTGCTGTTCTAATGACCCTCGGCGGGTCCCGGAATTCATCGTCAGAGTTGTCAAAATCACCGTCGAGGAACAAGGGAGCATCGCTGGTGCCACCTGCGGCCGGATTGCTCTGCTTCCGCTGCGGGGAAGCCACCGGTAGTGAAGCTAGAGGAGGAGGACGAGAAACAGGAATAGACGAACTAGACGAGGTAATCGCTTGCTCTTTCTCCACTTGATTTGCAGCTGCTATCAGTGCCTCTTCATCGACATCTCCCCAGTCCTCGCTTCCAAACTCATCGTCCGACATTGCAGCAAAAGTTTCAACGCGGAAGCAAAAGTTGGGGAGACGCGTTTTGCCCCCCAGACAATGAATCACGCGTGTTAGTAAGCAGGGTGTAGGCCTTGGCAGCAACGGCCTCAGGCCCACAATTTTGAAGTCAGAGCACTTCCGTGGCAGAGTCTGTGAGCAAAACCGGAGGGGTTGACTCCTATGGCATGCGCAAGCGATAAAGTTCGATGGGGAATACCGGTACGGTACGGCACCGATATCGCAGCCGAGTACGGGAAGCCTGAGCATTACAGTAAGGTATCGTATCCATCGAATTTCCGTTGGAGGACTCCCCTTAGGAATTTAGAAGACCTAGATGACAGACCATAAGCCAAACCTCTACCTACTCGAGTACAAGTAGACCGCCGAGTATTGCCCAGCACCTTGCCAAACGGCGGGAACAAAGTTCACGGAGAGGATTCCCGGCGCACTAAGGGTTACCCGGCCAGCCAACTCCGGGCGATGTTCGTTACTACTGCCGGATGGTTCCCTTCTCGTACCATAACACCAGTAAATCCAAGTAGGAAGCGATTCCTCATGGTAAGTATCGCACCATAGTGGTTTGTCAGTTCTCTCTGTTTTACTCGAGTATGTTGAGGAATAATGCCTAATGTCCAGCACTGCGGCCTTTGGGCTGATTGACCAATTGCATAAGTTACCGTCCCCCGGTTTCTGGGCGCCTCAAATCCGAACCAAGGGGGAATTGGGGCAGTTCTGATCCCAGATATGATATCATGTCTCCCGCAACAGAGTCATTCAGCATTTGGGTAGGAAAACGTTTATGCAAGTCTCTCGAGTTGGAGGACTTTGGTGTAACGCCCTTTTTAGGTACGAATCTGGCAGACCCACTCCAACTTGGCGCTCGGAAAACGCGCTCGCCCCTCAATATTATCCGACAGCCCAAAGGGTATATGACAAACGGGTCCCAAATTCAACCAAAGCCAATCCCCCACCTCCGCTGTCGCGCAGTGGAACAGACAAGTAGACTACTAGTACCGATACAGCACCTTGGACCACAAGCACAGTACGGTAACTCACGACCCCACAACACAATACAGCAGTATCGTGCCATACTCGAACTCAAACTTACTTGCAGTACCGGTATCAGGAAGACGAGAACAGCACGGGACACCGAGAATCGGGCTATATAGCTACCGTATGTCGTGCTGCCGCACGCTATCTGAGTTGCCGACGCACTGAAACGCGACAACACTAATACTTGTACTGTGCTCGTACGCACGCTCCCGGTAGTCCAAAACAACATGTGCTCCAGGACACTGGGCACCAGACAAAGGATGAAGGCAACAAATCAATTGCGAGGACGTAGAGTCGGACAGTGCCCAAGGTTTCGAGATAAAACGTTGATGAGAGTGGGTTGTTGTACTGTACTCGTATTTTAGGCCTGTGGACTGAGAACGCCATCTGCCATATTGTCTGGGGGAACGTGCCAACACCGCCACTGAAGCTGCACTTCACCGGGCGTACTCGTACAATTTATTCCGTGTCATAACTTAAAACTTACGTCCACCCACTACCGTACGAGTACCCGTAGAGTGCAGGATGAGCAAAGTACTCGAGTACCGGCACTACACTGCACCTCAACCACCAACAGCCCAACCGGTACCGATTTCGCTGGACATCGTAGTCTAAAGCTATATCCGAAGGAAAAAACAACTTGCGAGGTGGGGGCTATGGAGGATGGGGGATGAGAGTGCTAGGACGTTGCAATTGTGTACAGTACCCTACCGGTACTCGAGTATCACCATCTTCCCTTTGTTTTGTCTCGGCTATGGGCTGAGTTTGCGGGTGGGCTCCAACGTCATGGCGCATTTACTCGTACTCGAGTATCTTCTGTTCGAGCTCCTGCGGCGATGGAAAGGTGAATCGCAGACAATTTGCTGGCATGATCATCTGTAATTCGCACTCATTGAGCGTAGACTACAGAGTATGCGGGCTAAGGGAGTATCATAGGGCAGTTGAAGAGGTGTTTGGTGTTTTTCCTCTTGTGGTTGCCACCCCTCCAACAATTTTGTTACTATATTTATATCCTTATTCTCCCCGAATATGCAGCAAAAACTCTCGCCTAGTCGCAAAGCATCATAGGACCTGAGAAATGATTATTTTCGGACCAACCACCCTTCACATCCCTGAGCTTTTTCCCAACTTCCACAGCCACCCACCTTCTCTTATGGTGGGACCAGATCCCCAAAAGACCCGTGTGGAGAAGCGAAAAAGAAAAAAAAGAATATCATATTATCATAGTACCGGTAAGAAAGTGAAAAACGTTTCGGTGGTGGTGGCAATTCGAAAATTAGAAAAAACCAAGGAGCATCCGCATCGGGTTGAAGTTACTGGGATTGGACCAGCACTCAAGCACGGTGCAACGATTGGAGGATCACCACCGTTGTTTACAAGAATGGCAAGTTTGGTGCCGTCCTTAGTCATGAAAATAGCGGAATTCCAGGGATGCCCTGCGATTCATAGTCGCACATCAGTCCGTGATTGGTGAAGTATCAAGTGATCTTTATTACCTACTCGGGTAGTGTGCTGTGCCATAAGTCAATGGTTGCCGGTAACCCCTTTCCACTTCAGAGTTGTCAACACCAGAGGGGGCCACTGGGATATGGTAGAGTACCGTACTCGAGTACACCCCCCCAAATTTCATAACATACTCAAGTATGAGCGATCAGACCGCAAGCGATGTTGTTATTGCCGTACTGTACCGGCACTCCAGAAATCAAAAGAGAGGAAAAAAGCCCTTGTTCGACTGTCCACACACCTTTTCCTTCCAATCACCCCTAGCGCCTGGATATCATACCCTACTTCCCTAGATTCTCCCGCCTACTTCGAGCACTCGTACTCTACCGTGCCCACACCCTCCCCCCCCCAAAAAAAAAAAAATTCTCTGCTGCATTTTTGTACTTAAGTCCCCTGCCACCCGTTCATTTGACCTCCTCGCCTTCTCCTCTCTTCTCCACACTCCAGTCACTTCTCACACTCGCTTCGTGATTATTCAAATTCTGTTGATTTTCACATTAATCTTCTAATCACCACCACCACACTCCTTCAGTCTATCTACCAAACAACAGTTTTTTCTTTCAACAAACACCTCAATCAAAATGAAGTTCTCTGCTATCATCCTCTCTCTTGGCTTCGCCGCTCTCGTTGCTGCTCAAGCTCGCAATTCTACTGCTCAATCTGCTCCCACTCCCACTCAGACCACCAGCTTTTCCCCTCAGATTGCCGCGTGCCTCGGCGCGTGCAAAGAGGACGATGTGACTTGCCGTGCTAAATGTTTGGGTATGTTTGCGTAGTCCATCATATGACCTCCTGCTGACTCGATCTCTTCTTTTTTCCAGGTAGTGCTGCTCCCAACGAGGCTGCTGTCAATGCCACCAACACTTGTATTGACAAGTGTCCCAAGGGAGTACGTTTTTGTCTCATTCACTCTATTGGGCCATACATATACTTACACAATGCAACAGGATGGAAGCGAAGCGGCCAACGATCAATACTCCAAGTGTGTAACTGGCTGCATCAACACAATCTACCTTTCCACTGCCACTCCTGCCCCAACTGGAGGCAGCGGGTCTGGGTCTGGGTCTGGGTCTGGGTCTGGATCAGGGTGAGTCTGATTTTCAGTTGTCTGTTGCCATTCATCCAGTCACTAACCTGGTTGACTTTCCTCGGGTGTGGCGCTGCCACAAGTGAGGCTCGTTCTTCACCTAATAGTGGAAATTCTGCGAACCCTACATCTGATGGTGGCCCCAGTGGCACCTCCTCCGGTTCTAGCTCTACTTCCTCACCCAATGCCGGCTCCTCGGTCAAGGTCGTTGGTTCTTTCCTCACCATCTTCGGAATAGCCGCTGGCGTCCTTGCTTTGTAAACAAACTGTCCCTAATGTCGATGCATTCCTGTTATCGATGTCTTGATCTCACCATTGGACGATAGAGAGGGTTCGTGTTGTGCGGTTAGGTTCGGGTTCTTTGGGCTGAATAGGTGGATTGATGCGTCTCAGGTTGTACGTTACCTGTATGCGCATTGAGACAGTTGAAGAGAAATACTGGTGATGCTTTACTTTATTAATTACTTGGGTCGGTTTAATGTGGTGTATCTGTGGTTTCCTCCCGGTTCGTTGTATGATCTTTTTTTTTTGTCGATATTTGGGGTATTTTTTGCAATACGCTACCCCTGGTGTTTACTTTTCTTTTTTTTTTTCTCGAATAAAAAAAAAAAAGGATATAATACCCGCCACCAGCTAGGTCTCCTCGTGATTATAACTAAAAGGGTCAATCCCCCCACCTAATGATAATATCATTGGATGCCTTCTGCAGCGTACAGTACACCATATAAAACCGAAGCCCTAAGAAAAGCCTCACCGGGTAACCCAAAACATCAAACAGAGCAGACCTATGCTTGTGTCACCATCCTGACAACTACCACCAACGAGAATACTGGTACCCACCCCCCCTAGGGCAATTTCTGCCACCACCATCACAAAACAGTAACACGAAATGACCACTTCACCTCCCTCCATTCTACCGGTATCCCTCCCCCCTTCTTTCTTTCTTTCCTTCGCCCCGGAGATTTGCTCTGTACGACAATCACTAGCGACCATACCTCTAGAGGCTAGTGGGGCCGAGATTTCCATACTCGAGTGAGATCCTGCGCACATGTATCTACTCGTACTCGAGTACCGTACAGCACTGCACCGTACTCGGGGTAAGGGGTAAAGTATTGGGACAAGCAAGCAGGGGTGGGAGGATTTTGGTGTGTATGAGAGTGAATCAGTGGCTGCGGAATCACGTAAACCCCTCCCCAGAAAGGGTTTTATCAATTCTTAACTTGCTAGACATTTTGCTTAATTAAGCCTCGTAAGATCTGAATTGAGTTTAAAAATGAAAAAAAACCTCTCGGAAATAGCCAAATGGAGTAATCATGTCCAGTTTTTTTTTTTTTTTTTTTTTTTTTACCCCTGCCCAGAAGCAACTGTACGGTATCTTACCGAGCCGTGGGGGGGGGAGGCCACTGAATTAGAGATTTTTTAAATTTTTTTTCTTCCCCTATCTATCTCAGAATTACCGGGTTCGTTCCTTCGTTATCGGGCTGCAGGAAATAATATATAATTTCTTCGTATAGTAGGTTGCATGTTCTATGTTTTTATTGTATGTTTTTGGTGAGTTGCGCGGTTGCTCACGGGGGCACGTGATTACTGTTTTTTTTGTGTTTCTTTCCGCATGGTTTTGTCGTGCAGGTGGGAGCAATGTTGCAATGAAGGGGGGGGGTGGATCAAAAAACGATCGAGGGGCTGGAACACGCTTTTTCGAACTGGGGCATTATAAGAAAGAACCCCTTCTAACAAAAACAATAAACAATGACATTTGAAGCAAGTTGAAAGTAAAGAAACAAATAAAATTATGACATTTGAAGCAGAAAATTCCTAAAACATCCCACAAATATTCTTTGGTAGATTCTTGGATAATTTACTCCTCTTTCACTGCTTCTGAGCAACGAATATTTCCTGCTGTTTTGCTTACTAAGATATTATAGAACCCCCCCCCTTCTATCCCAATTTTCAGAATCCCCAATTCAATCCCCCCCCTTCTAACTCCCCGAGTTCGATCACCGAAGGCCTTCTTTGCAACATTGCGGTGGAGTACAGTACAAGTAAATTACCCGTGTTAAAGTTAGATTGTCTAGCCCACGATATAGGTACTAGTACAAGTAGGTATGATACGAGTAGCAGGTGAGGTAAGGGTGTTATCGACAAAGTCTCACTTGCGAGTAAAATTCGCTCCTTGAAAGGCTATTCACTGTGGCCAGTTTTCCCAAATTACCGGTACGAAGTATCATGTGTGTGTGTGATTATTTATTTATTTATTTAAGAAGTGCGGTTGATCGAGGCGGAAGAATGGTGGATGATGTTCAATTACCGGTACTATGGTGGTTTTTTATTATTATTATTATCATCATTTTCCGTGTCGTGGAACTGGGTGGCTACGAGTAGGTCCGGAACTATGATAACCCATGTTAATACTGCCCGTACCGGGTTTGTCTGGGTGAATCCTCTGTTTCTGGGTCTCAAATTTATCATACAGTGTTGTATCATAGCTTTTTTTTTTCTTCACACCCTTATTACCGGTATTGTTGTTCTCAAAAGGTCGTCGCCAGTTTACCGGTCTTCCGACCTTCTCAAAAGGGAAGAAAAACGGAACTCCCGACGCCACAGTAGGGGGCTCAGATTGGCTTTCCAACTGAGGAGGGTATGCCAAGAACTCGTAGCTAAAAGGAAGGGAAATTAGTTGGGGGAAATTGCGTCCAGGAGGGAGAAAAAGGAGAGCGGCGGCCGGAAAGGGTAGTTAGGTTAGGTCAGGTTACGGCTTTGTGCTGACTTATGGTACAAGCAGGGTATGGTATGATATCATACTCGCACAGTACCGGTAATTGCAGGTGGCACCACGGGCAGAATTTGTGAATCATGGGAACGAGGGTTGTAGGCTCACGGTCATCTCGTGGGAATCTGCTGATGCATTGTAGTCAAGCATGCTTGCTGCTTCCTAGCTACCCTTCCTTCTATTGTCGCCATCACCCTTCCTCCGCGCTCACTCGTATTCCCAACTGATCCTCTAAATTGGAATTCTATTCAGCGACCGTGATCGGTCCCGCCGGGTCCATTCCCAACTTGACCATTTCTACGGCTAGTTGGAAGAGATAGTCCAAGCTTTTTAAAGCCGCCAGCAGCGCATCAGCAAGGCTGCCTCCATACCATAGTAGGTCACGATGCTCACCTTTCTGCCTGAGTCTTCGCTTTCCAGACGGTATCGCCCCAGACGTAGCTATGATTGAAAGCGCGATCAGTATGGAGGGTTGCTCGAGTGCGGTAAAGCTCGGGGAGAGATGAGATAGAGGTAACCTACACTCCATGCCTCCTAACCAAGACTGCGCAAGTATCCGGGTACTCGTCGATAGCTTTTCCGAGCCTTTCTGTCAAGTCCTCCTCGCTACCTTCATCAACTACCCCTCATCCTCATCCTCTCCCCCACCTAGGAGCCAAACTTACTGCGCAGTATTCTCAATAATCGGAATAACCAACTTATCAAAAAACCCATAATACCCTCCCGTTGACGGCCTCGGTATAGCCTTGATCTGTTCGACGTTTGCAATCGACCATGTACTTCCCTTCGACAACAGTGTGCACATCACGGCGGCCTGCGAGTGCGTATGTATGCACGCTCCCGCATTGCGCTTGGTAAACGACGCCATGAATAGCGGTGTGCAGGCTGAGGGCTTGAGAGAGGGGGGACGTCGGAGATAGGTTTTTGTGGGAAAGTCCATTACGAATATGTCCCGGGCGTTTATGCGCTCCTTTTGGACTCCCGAGGGGGCGAGGTAGACGTGGGATTCGTGGCGGATGGAGATGCCGCCGCCTGTGCCGGTTACCTGATATATTTAGTTTTAGAGTAGGAGAGGATAGGAGAGAGCATACCCAGCCTAGGCTGTAGAAGTTTTTGCATAGACTGCAGATTAAGTTTGCTGGATGGTTGGGGTCTGGTGGTGTTGAAGGTATCGCAGGTTAGTATGATAGGATAGGTGCTCTTCCATCACTTCCACTAGAGAGGAGGGAAAACCAACCCTCCGAAATGACCAATTCCTCACGGCTATTCCCCTGACTCATCATTCACGGTGTATTTTTAGGCAATGGGTTCTGTTGTAGTAATTGTTGTTTCCAAGAACTCATAAGGAGGGTGCGGAAGGAAAAAAGAGAAAAAAAGGCCCGACTTTCAAACCCCTCCCCTTGGTTGCCCCGCAATGCCCTACTTCTTAACCCTAAGCTAAAGCAAGTGAGGAGCACAGTATGATATCAAACATTGCATCCCTTGGGCCACCTGAGGCAGTAAAATTCCCAGTCCAGATCAGCCCAGCAGTGAGCTACTTCGGGTTATAAATCTGCGCCTTTTCAATGTTCAAGTGACTCAGCATCTCAGTACCGGTGAATCACAATACCGGTACCGTACCCGAATTCGCCCAAAACAAGTACTGGCGTGCTCAATGGCGAATATCATAGTTTTAGACCGGCCAAAGGATAATGTAGCACCTTGGTCTACTACTCGGCTCTTTACAAAGTGTCCAGACACTTTAGTATCACTAGTACCTGTTTTGATGCAGTTGCCCAAATACTCTATCATTCACGTTTTTGCCAGCAAAACACTGTTCGTCACCCGCCGGTTTTACGGAGCATCTGCCTGCTTCGGGTGGAGATGCAATCGGCTCGTTTTTCAGTGCCAGTTTTGTCGATGGACGCTAGGGTCGGTACCTTATATTGGCCCTTATCTGTTACTCTTAGTGTTTCGAGGGTGGTTCCTCTACTCGTACTTTCCCTTTTTTTTCTCCCCATTGAATTTTGTACAGTACGAGTACTAGTTATCATACCTGCGTTGCGATGCGGTGCGATAACTCAATTCCGGATTCGGTATTTTGAGTGAGATCTTGTGACGATTGACGTTTTGGGATTGATGCATCGGGGCGCAGCTGCGCCTCGATGCTTTGGAGAGATGAGGGGATGGATGGAGAGATGGCGATGGGGACGCCGGCACATGCGATAAAAAGACGTAGGGAAGTTTGAGTAGGCAACTTAGCCACGGTTCTTTGCCTTTGGAAAATGCATCGAGTACCGTACCGTGCTGTACTGTACGAGTATGAGTACTCGAGTAGAGGTTTTATTTCCCCGCATGAGGAGAAGAGGGGTAGAAGGGGGTGGTGCTTGGATTCGCGACTGAGAATCTGGCTCTCTGCTTCCGCAGTGCGTGGTCCGTCCTACCGAAAGAGGAGGGCCACATTATTTCGCGAGCTTGGGGATGACGTGGGTATTGTTGCTGTTGTAGCTAATTTTCTGAAAGGTATGATCAGGGCCAAGTTTGAAGTATTAGAGAGAACCGCTGGTGTTTACCAACATGGCATAAGTATCATAGTGGAGATTATCTATCGGTAGTCATGTGATTGCACTCGTTATGATATATTCTTTGAGGACACCCTAATGTCGGGACATGACGCCCGCTAGTACGGTACCCCGTTATGTCTCAAAGCTCAGCGAGCAACACGCAATATCCCGCTTTCAGTATCAGGAGCGCTCGACCGTTTTAATCCTAGCCAGGCAAGAAAGCACCGACTATCCGAGGGAACGTGTTTAGGAACCTCAGTAAGCAATTTTTGGTGGCTGTTTGGAACCTCCGGTTCCCAGCTCCCCAAAGGCATGCCGGCAACCAGGTGGGCACGGTGCGACCCCCATACCGTGCCGGTACTCGGGCACATTGGGCCTCCTGGCTACGACACTGGACTAGTACGTATCCCGACACCTATCCCCCGACGTTGATCCACAAGCCTACCTTACCGCCAAGCGCCAATATGAAGCCGGGGACCATGGCGGAACCGCTTTAGCATCTACGACGTTAGCCCAAGGTATGGTCCTAACTCTCTCAAGTGCGATGCCATTCTCATGAATATCATGAGTGCGAAACCCTGGACCACAATTGGCTGATTTTGTACACTCCTACATCCAGAGCGCCAGAGGACTTGATAGCAAAAAAGGTGTTCAAGTCAAGACAGGCTACATTGGCGGCGTCCACCGTAAGGCAATTGTCCCATTGCTGGTTGCTCACGGGGAGGAGGCGCGTTGGGAGGCACATTGAGCCCTCTCCATTGTTGGTGGCTCGTATCTATATACGAGTATATATATGTTTTAGGATAGGTAAGCTTTGAACACGTAAACTCGGTTGCCAAAGTACCGGCAGTCTAAGTGGTGTTTTAGGCGAGTGTGATCTTGGAGATCGCCAATGTCCTAGCGCATATACCACCGGCTACGTCTCATCTTTCCGATCTCAATACCTTCAGTATCATACCGACTTTTGTTTTGCGAGTGGAATTGTCGAGGTAGAGGACTACCAGTATGCGAATTGTCGAGCGAAATTGCTGTTTGATACAGACTCAGAGATCGTTCAGAAGCAAAATGGATTATGTAGCTCGGGAAGCAGGTAAGGCTGGTCAGAGAGGGGGAGGTATCTCTTTGGAAATTCGAACTTTTCTCGAAGCACACAATTTTTGCTCGCAATCTTGTCCACAACACCTTTGCAAACTCCCATGGCAAATTACTGTTCTTTATCAGACTCTGCCATCCTGCGCTGATGCCTTTTATGCTGCTTGGTCACAAGAACCTTCATATTTTATTGTAAACTTTATTGTTTATAGTCACAAGGATACCGGCGGTGTATCAGGTTTACTGCGCGCAAAAGGTCCCACCAACCCCTTTAAGGAATACCGCTACGAGTATGATACTCTGCCGATAGTAGAGTCTAGGAGATCCGGGTGCGGGGACAACACCTTGTAAAGGGTAGCCAAGGTGCCGTTTTCGGAAGCACCATCATTTTTAATCACTTGCTAGACAATTGCACTTTCGGGATCGTCTAAGGATGATTTTTTGGACAAAGGAGACGAAATCAAATGCTGGGCAATAGATTATGATGTATGATAAATAAAAATCTCACAAAAGAACTGGCTTAGGCTTTTGGGGTATCATAAATCTAATGACCGGAAAAGAAGACTTGCTTTTGGCAGGCTGAGTCATAAAATTGTGGATGATGGTGGGATATCTGAAAAAAACACTATGCTGCCAAGTGGAGGCTCTGTACTGTACAGTACTAGTACAGTGCTCGAGTATGGTCCTGCCGTGGAGAGTTCGGTACGATGCAGGGAGAGATGGGGAGGAAGAGAACCGGGCTAAAAGGTACAATCAGGACAAGTGTAAAGAAGAAAAAGAAAAAGTACGGTAAGTCCTCGGCCGACAGTGGTTCAGAATGCTGAGTTATTTTCATATTATTTGGCTGACTTTTTACTATTATCATTTTTTCTCTTCTGGGCAGAGAACATTTTGGAAGTTTCGTGGAAGCGTTAGGTTCGGTTCATGGTCAAAAGGTTCCCTTGTCGCCGCTTCGAGCAAACGTGTCCTCTGCTCTCATTGGATAGGCCCCAAACTGAACCGACAAAACTAAGCCTAACGGGGAAAACCCCGGAGTGCTACTTTCAAAGGTGGCCTCTTCTACAAGAACACCCTCCCGTCAAATTCTTCTTTGACCCTCTTTCTCCTCTCTGTGTTATATCCATCTGGTCAACTCGATTAATTAATATTCTCTCTCCCCTTCTCTGTTCGCTCGCTCTGCTTCAGGGTTCTTGAGCAAATATCTTTCACATTCATCTGTTGGATCTTTCTTTGACCTCCTCGACAAAATGCGTTTCAATACCAAGGTTGCCTTCGGCCTGTTCTCTGTTGCACTTTTGGGCTTCGGAAACCTCGCTTTTGCTGATGAGATTGATGATGCCCTTGGAGATGCTGCTACATCTTCTGCGACTTCCTCTTCTACCACTGCTGCGATTGACAAACCTACGTTTTCTGTGAGTATTCCTTTATCTATTGTCGTTGTGACGACACTCAAACTAATTATGTCATTTCTCAATAGCCTTTAGCTATCCAAGCGCCCTTCTATGAACAATTTACCCCTGGCTGGGACTCAAGGTGGAAAGTTAGCCATGCTAAAAAAGAGAATGACAAGACTGGTGATGAAGAATGGACATATGTTGGCCAGTGGGCTGTCGAAGAGCCTACGGTCTTGAAGGGGATTGAGGGTGATAATGGACTTGGTGCGCGCTTTACAGCTGTTTCTCCGAAAAAAAAAAAATAAAGATAAAAAAAATTTGCTAATAATTTTCAATAGTTGTCAAGAATGTTGCTGCTCATCACGCTATTTCTGCCAAGTTCGATAAGCCTATTGACAACAAGGGTAAAACTTTGGTTGTTCAATACGAGGTTAAGCTACAGGGTTCGTATTATCCAATTTTTGCCCATTGAGATTTTCGTTGACATTTGATTGTTCAATAGGGGGTTTGGAGTGTGGTGGAGCTTATCTCAAGCTTCTCAAAGAAAACGCTGACCTCCACGCGGAGGAGTTTTCCAATGCCTCCCCTTATGTTATCATGTTTGGTCCTGATAAGTGTGGCGCTACCAACAAGGTTTGTGTTTCCACCAGTAGTTGCTTTACAGTCATTCTGATTACCGTATTAGGTTCACTTCATCTTCAAGCACAAGAACCCTAAGACTGGCGAGTACGAGGAGAAGCATCTCATGAGTCCCCCCATGGCTCGCATCTCCAAGCAAACTACTCTATACACTTTGATCGTCAATCCCGATCAAACCTACGTTATCAAGATGGATGGTAGCCAGGTCAAGAGTGGTTCTCTATTTGAGGATTTTGCACCTTCGGTCAACCCTGACAAGGAGATTGATGACTCGGAGGACAAGAAGCCTGAGAGCTGGGTTGAGAAAGCCAAGATCCCTGACCCGGCGGCCAAGAAGCCTGAGGATTGGGATGAAAATGCACCATACGAGATCGTCGACGAGGAGGCTGAGAAGCCTGAGGACTGGTTGGAAGATGAGCCGGAATTTATTCCCGATCCCGAGGCTGTTAAACCAGAGGACTGGGATGATGAGGAGGATGGTGATTGGCTTCCTCCCACCGTCTCTAACCCCAAGTGTGAGGATGCAAGTGGGTGCGGCAAATGGTCCAAACCCATGAAGCCAAATCCTGCATACAAGGGCAAGTGGTCTGCACCAATGATCGACAATCCAGATTACAAGGGCCCTTGGGCTCCTCGTAAGATTCCTAACCCGGATTACTTTGAAGATAAGACACCATCAAACTTCGAGCCCATGGGTGCTATCGGTTTCGAGCTCTGGACCATGACCAAGGATATTCTCTTCGACAACATCTACATTGGTCACTCGATTGAGGATGCCGAGAAACTCCAGAAGGAGACTTTTGATGTTAAGAAGAAGATTGAGCAAGAAGAGGATGCTGCATCGGCCCCCAAGATTCCCGAAGCCCCCAAGGCTCCTGGTGAGACTACCTTCAAGGAGGATCCTGTTGCTTTCGTCAAGGACCACCTTGAGATCTTCTTCGCCGCGGTTCAGAAGGATCCCGTCTTTGCTATCAAGGAGTTCCCAGCTGTTGCCGGTGGCCTCACTGTATTCTTGGCCTCTTTTATTGCGCTTCTCTTCAATTTGATCTTCTCGGGATCATCTCCGGCACCTGCTCCCAAGGCCGCTGCTGCTGATGGAAAGGGCAAAGCGGAGGCTACTTCTGAGGGCTCCTCGACTGAGAGCGAGAAGCCCAAGGCTACCAGGCGAACATCAAAAAAGGCGGAATAGATTCGGCTCTGTAAATTGCTATAATTCTTTCGTGTAGGGCATCTTGAGAGATGATCGGATGGATGTATTCTTTTTTTATATTTTTACTTTCCTACCATTTTTCTTTCGTCGCTATGATCTACGGGAGTGCGTGATTGCTGGCGAGGGTTCCTTTTTTCTATTTCCTTCGGGATCATTGAGGGTTTAAAGTTGCGGTTTCTTGTTTTTTCCTTGTCAACGGGATATTTCTTTCCCAATTGGCTCTGTAGCTTTAGGTTTTTCCACGAGTGCGAATCAAAAGTGATGCTATTACGTTTTAAGATGTACCGTACGGCACCATACTATCCTATGATACCCATTCTTGCTCTACACTACTCGAGTACTGTACTCGGGTGCAGTGTCGCGGTATGATATGATACAAGTATGATGTGGCGTTGTGTCACAGGTCAGGTCGGGGTTCCGTGAGTATATATTAAAGCCTCCACCCTATCCCAACTACAGCTCTCTGTACTAGTATCGTACAACTGCAACCCATCCGGTGGGACTCTCGAAAACCTATTCAAACTCCGCCGCCAATCCTCGGATTACAAGAATGATGCTGGCGAGACTACCGAACAAACCCATTCTCCAATTATAAAGACCTCAACACCCTTATCGAGCCGAACTTCATCCGCTTTGACAACCTTTGACCCGCACTTGGTATCCGAAGCCGAACCCCCAAATGCGCTGGATGGCAATCGGAAACCCTCTTGTCAATAACACTACCAACCACACCGCCCCCGGCACTCCACTGCGCCGCGGCCATGGACGTCCAATCGTATTAGCAAAGCTCCTTCCAGACGGCGGAGCCCAGACTGGCTCCCGTGGGCGGCATGGAGGAATCCTACTCTTCGCTGTGGTTCGGTATCGGGACACCGGTGTCGCGAAGCGCCTAGTTGAGCATGGTGCGGACATCAGCACCAGCGACGGTCGGGGAATAAGCATCACTACGTTTCTCGCTGGCCAACCTATCGCCATAGGTTCCCTGTGCGGGAGTTTGGGGACGCCGTAGTACGCGCTGCCGACGGGGGCGACCCCGCACAGATCGCCCCAGTGTCAGACTCTTTGCGGAGCTCCGGCTGTGAAAGCCTGGAGAAAGGAGCGGAGCCTGATGTCCCAAATGCTACCGGCTTAACGGCTCTCCACACCACGCCTTCTCCGGAAGTGGGACACTCGAGAATTCCCAAGAATTACCGGAAATTGGACGGACATCAACCTGCACAGTCGTAATGACCAGACGCCGCTCCTCTTCGCCGCTAGTAATTACCGGTAACTACCGTAGAGAGGGCTGGTCGAGGGACCAACCAATCACGGAACCCACGCCACTGCCCAGTGCAACGATGGACGCAGCGTGGCGTACTAGGCGGGCTTCCATCGCATGAAGGATGTTGTCCGAGTGCCTATTGGGAAGCTGCTGCTCGTGGAGGGTTTGGGCTGGATTGAACATGATGAGCACATGCTACTGCCTTGGGTGGGTTATTTGCTATGGGGAATATTGGGGTACGTTTCTGAGATTCGTTTCTGCTTCTTTCCTCAAGGGGCGTCATGAAGCGTGTGCTATATGATGTATGGTTTTGCGTACGTTCGCTTGAGGGGATAGTACGGTGACAGCAACTTTGGCAGGGAAATTGATTAGTGAGGTCTCGGCGGGGGGGTATTTGTAGCAGCAGGTTCGGGGGACTAGGAATGTGGATTTCATTGGATTTTGTACTACGGGTTATCATGCCTACAGTGCCTGTTATATTGCATGATCGCTTCCATAAGGAAGTGATCATGCTTCGGGATTTATCTCCCCACATGCCGATATTCTCTCCCATATTTCTACCTTGATTGTTCTTCCAGTTTCCACTCCCCTAATCTCTTATATTCATTTTGCATTTTTTTTTGCTCCTCATCTTCCTAAAGGTTTGCAAGCGGCGCCAGCCTTTGCCCCCCCCCCCTCCCTTCTTATCTTATGTTTTATGCAAACAGGCTCAAAGCTCGAATATCATTGCGCATGTCCGACCGACTGAGTGCGGCACTCAACCCCCTCTACCATACACGACATTTACCCGCAATATTGCGGTCCAGCCACCATCCCAGCACCCCACAATAGTTTATTTATCAAAGTCGGATGTTGATCCGACCATTCACCAATCAAACAACATACATGCACGCACAGTTGTTGTTGTCGGACTACGGCATAAACTACGACTAAACTACTATCCATAGGGGGCGCGGCCGGCCGGTAACTTGATCGTGTGCTCAAGACCACTCTTCCAAACAGCTCTCATTTTTAAATAACAGCGCCCCTGTAGGCACCTACCTTTACCTGGGCGGCCTCCTACATTGTGGATCAATCAATTGGGTAATTACTGTTGCAGGTACAAGTATTGGGTTCTGTACGTGCTGCGTGCTGCTTTTGCGGATTGGCTGGGATAACGTGGCGTGAATAATTTTTTCATGCTCGGAGCTCAATATGTGGGTTTGATTGCGGTCCTGGCCTCGTCGTGGTGTGTACTGTACAGTACTGTATTGTGTGGCTCAGGGTAAATGGCACGAATACCGGTACAAGTTCTTCGCTTCTACTCGAGTATCCGTCTGTGGAGATGGCTGTGCATGAATAAGCATGATACTTGTAGCTTAGAGCGCAGTTACTTGTACTCGGTCGTAAATTAAATATTGAGATAGAGTGACAAACCAGGAGCCTTGGTTGAAATACAGACTCTACGGTATCGATGTCACTCCATCCCATCCCAGTTCTTTAATTTGCGCCAGAGCACCGTAGCCTAACCAACCAGCCAGAAACCCTACAAACATTAAAAGCTGCAATCCCTCAATCTAGCTGGCACGGTACTCTGCAGCGAGTAGGAGAGAAAAAAAAAAAAAAAACTCGTATGATACAAACAAAACACGACAAACAACCATCACTTGTTCGAAAACAACCAACCCACCACCACCTCATTAGGGTAACAAGTCACCATGGTCAATTTCGTAAACAAAGCAAACAAAACAAAACAAAAAACCATTTCTCAGCAAATGATCCCCTTCCACTTTTCGCCTACGCCTCAATACCATAGGCGACCACGATAATTTATTTTAATCGTGGCAGTCTACTACTCGTACCACCGTATCATGATTTTGCGCACCGCGAGATTACCGTACCGGTAAACGGTTAAGGTGGGGGGGGGGGAAGTTTCCATGTACTGTACTGTACTCGAGTATGATAACTCGTACTTGTGCCCGACCCCGCTAGACTACTCCCTACCTTGTAGTTGATCAGACTTAATCTACCCCGCAAACCTGCAAGCCATAGATTAATGCACAAACTTACGAGTACAGTACTCTCGTAATTACAAGTACTATAATAATATCCGACGTCCCAAATGCGCGCGTCCCCCGTCTAGACTACTCGAGTACCAGTACAGTACCCCGCAACTGACAGCAGCGGTTAGTGGGTACAGGTATCAGGGGACGGCAGGGGGGGGGGGTGGCGGAAGGGGTTATGGTTTGGACTGGATCGGGTTTGCTTTTTTTTTTTTTAGTCTTGTGGGGAAATGAGAGGCTAGCGATGCAGGTGGAGAGTATCGTATGGCTGAGATGGAGGATCTGCGATGGTGGGACCTTTGGAGCGAGTGATCCTTTGTGATTGGACGTGTTTTAAGGATATGTCCATATCGTAGATACCATACAATCTTGTGTCGGGGTTTGGCTTTTTTGGGGGGGTATATATGCTGTAGAGTGGTGTGGAGTGTAGTGAATTTGTAAAGATACATGATGGGATGAGCTTCGGTGTTTGTTGATCCGCTCGGGGATTCGGAGATATCATTATCCACTTTTTTTTCTTATTTTTTTACGAATACAGCGCGCAGTGATAGGGATAGACTAGTATGAAATCTAAACTACACTACGAAAACTGGAATGGATCCTGCACCGCGATTGCCATCTTATGGACGAACGAAAATGAATGAAATAAGCTTTACGCCATCGGAATACATCATGATGCGATCAATATGGCAGGAGCGATAATCAGCGCTCAACTTCCCTCGTCCACCCTATCATAACTGTCCATTTGTTGAGCAAAAGCGCTCCACATCCGATATCACCATTTCGTTTCGTAGGGAGAAGGAGATACGATACCATCTCGCTAGTTAGCCCGGCTAACTTAGTCTAACGTCAAACACCTTATCGGCCTCGGGGAGCTATGGTAGGTAACAGGGCTGTCCGGGTTTCACAGCTTGGAAGGTGGGAGTGACGTGAGGTGGGCGGCCGCCTATCTGGCCGTCTGTACTCTACTCGTACAGTACACGTAAAGTGGGCAGGCTGGGTAAGGGCCAGGTATATAACCATCGGGTTTCTGGAAAGGTTGATGTTTCCGACCGGACATCCGATGATTGGATATTTCGGCCTGGGGCAGATCTGATGTGCTGACCTAAAATTTGTGTGCATACGGACTACCGGTATCTCCTATTATTATCACCGTAAGGCTCCTACTGGATAAGGTACTCCTTCCATATGCATGGAACATTGCAGAAGAATAATGCACAAGTTGTGATACTGCAGGGGGCACGATATCTGGATGCTATTCACATTAGGCAGCACCAGAACATCCATCATCGACTTGATTGGAGCTTGCGGAGAGGAGGCTTTGGACCACCGATTGCATACGCAGGGCTTAATTGTGAGCTCGCTTGTGAGGTCCCTGCGCTAGGACACAGGGTGAAGGAACTCTGAGAATGGCAAGGCGAAGAAACAATCTGTTCCGTGTGATAGAGGGCACGAAAACTGGGCAGACTTTGCGACAGAATCCGGAACAACCCTTCGAATCGTGCATGATACCGGTACGATAGCTATTCCTCGTTCGTCTGTGGGCTCCACATCCCTAGCGAGAAGAGGAAGGACGGGTGCTGGAGGGGGGGAATGTTGTCCTTTTTCTTCCGTGCAGGGTTCGCATGTTGAGAAAGCCGTGAGGAGGATATCCAATGGTCACTGTCGTACAATACAGATTCTTCTGTATTGTAACTATTCCGTTCTCGCCGGCTTCTCCTTTTTCCTCGTGTGGTTGATGTTTTTTATTTTTATTTCACCACCAGCGTGGATGCATTTGTTGTCAGAGTCCTGTGGGTGATGGGAGTGAAAAGGTTAGGTTTGACAAACTGGATTTAGATTCCTTGCGAGAAAGGAAAGAGGAAAAGAATGCAGCAGGGGGAAGCGCTGATCTTGAATGTGCGCCGTGTTCTCAACAGTTTCTCGCACAGACCACCTCGTTCGAGTACCATATGATGCTCGAAATTCAGGTACAGTACCAGTTTTCCAGCTGCCGACTGGGCAAATGCTCGGGTCGTGGCCTGCCCTGCCTGTCGATGCAGTTCATCGGGGAGCCAAGCCCTGACGACGGCTAAAAACAGCGACAACGCTATCCCTCCAACCAATGAAAAATAAACAAGATTTCCTCTAAAATACCCTGTCTTGGCATTTTTTCTTCTTTACCAAAGCTATGGAAAACCGGCAAACTTCGACTTTCGGGGCTTGATGCGGTGCCGGTAATTCCCTATTCCCTTGCCCCCCTCTCAAGTTCTGCCGCCATCTCTCCACCTTAGCACCTCTCATACCCCAGCTCAGTATCGACGCCTACTATCATCCACCCCCCAAATCCTTTGTGTGAATAAATCCGCCCTTCTCCCCCCTCCCTCTATTCCTTCCCCCCTCCAACACTATTCCTTCCCTCAGCCTGTTTGTCGCTACATTTAAAGCTCGTCACCTTCCCTTCACTTGGAATAGACAACCAACAATCAATCAATCACATTTTTTTCTTCTGTGCCATCCTTCATTTACGTCGTTCCCTCTCGCCTTTCGATAGCGAATCGGTGACCTTGCCAACTCAGTAACAAAGACTTCCTTCGTCCCCCAGCCAAATCTTGTTATAGGCTTATATATTGGGCATGAATACCAGTACTAGGAATCTCTCAAAACTCAAGAAGGCCGCCAGAATCATTCTTGTTGGCCCTCCGGGGTGTGGGAAGGGTACACAGTCCGGGAGGCTACTGGATCATTTCAAATTGACCCCCATATCCTCGGGTGATTTGTTGAGGGAGAATGTGGGTGTCCGGTTTCTTTTTGTGCCACCATTTTGTGGGGCCAATGACATGTGCCGGTGAACGGCCGTGCTAACCTGCTATCTTCCCACATTTTCTGTAGGTTCGCAACCGGACACCACTAGGTACCAACCACCTTTTTTGTTACTTTTTAGCGACCAACATTCTGGATATTGGACATGATCACTGAGATCTTTTTGTTTTCTTACAGGAATTCAGGCTGAGACAGTGATGCGCTCCGGTGGACTTGTTCAGGATTCCTTGATGGTCAAACTTATCGTCGGAGAACTCTCCAAACGTGGATGGGTTGAAACCCGTGGTAATTTGACTTCTGGAATTTGTCTTACAGGACCATTATCGGTTATCGGGGGTCCAATAACGCCAAGAGCATCAGATTCTCCGACAGCTAGTTTCCTTCTCGACGGCTTCCCCAGGACAAAGAACCAGGCCCAATCTTTGGATTCTGAGGTCGCCATGAATTTGGTTTGTTCACCCTTTCCGACGCCAAGTTTGGACATGTTTGCTAATATATTATACTTATTTTAGGTTGTTAACCTCGATGTCCCTCATGACGTTATTTTGGATCGTATCGCCAATAGGCTTGTGGTGAGTCTGCCTTCTCCCCCCGAGCATGCGGGTTCTAATACATTTGAGTAGCATGAGCCTTCTGGCCGCGTCTACAATATGACCTGGAACAAACCCAAGAACCCCGGTGTCGACGATGTTACTGGGGAGCCTCTGACCCGTCGTCCCGATGATTGTCCGGTAAGCATTGCTATGTGAGGATCAACGTAAATTTTTTACTGACCTTGGAACAGGAAACATTCTCCAAGCGCCTGAAGAATTATGCTGAGGCTACCGGGCCGCTTCTTGAGCACTACGACAAAGCGGGCGTTCTGTGGACTGTATCTGGCTCTACTAGCGATGAGATCACCCCTCAGCTTGATGCTGAGATCCTCAAGAGATTCGGCTAGATTCACACTTGGGACTCGCTCATTCTTACAGCAGAATGGAGGCCTCTGAGACTTTGCTTTTTTATATATATATATTTATTTATGTTACCCTTTCCGATTCTCCTTTTTCCTGTTGCTCTCTCACCGACTGGAACCTTCATTATAATGAACATTCATGGCTAATGGCGTTTCCTATTTTTGCTTCATTTTTACCGCTGGAGCCTTACTCTTATGTTTTTTTATTATAACTTCATTCTTCATTTTCTTTTACAGCACGATAGGGATTGGTGGTTTTTGATTTCACTGCGGTACATTGTGGGACGACAATGAGTTTTCTGTTTTTGTTTTTATGATATGGACGTGGACTAATGTACAAATTACGGAAGGGTTCACGGAAATGAAAAAAAACAAAAAACAGGGCCAACAAAACAAGGCATGGATGATTGATTTGTGGCCTTTCAAATCGCAATTGTTTTTGCTTTTACTCCAGCCTTCTTCTCCGGGGTGATATGTGGGACTTTTCAATGGTATGATGCGTTACAAGCATACTAAGTTAGAGTTCACGGCAAAAGTCAAGACCAGTAGTTATCAGAATCTACTCGTACGATATCATACTCGGAGCAGAGAAGGGATTTGGAGTTGGATTTGTTATCCTATTTAAGTTAATATGGGTACATTTATGGGAAAAGGAACAAACTTGCCAACAACCATTCTGGGTCTATGAGTGTAGACTAGTACCTGATAGAGTACGCTGTGATTTGTTTGAAATATGTTTAAATTTAAAATTGGCATAGAAACAGATCCATACTGATGAATCTGTAAATTTTACTATCATAAAAAAAACATTTTTTAGTCAAAATACAACTTATTTCAAGGTAGATATATATACAATTTTTAAGAGAGCAATTTGTTATTATAGAGTTTATGGAGCTATACTCGAATAGCAAAATTGGTGTGTTTTAAAAAACATTTTTGCCTTTTTCTCAAGATGAACCATGGTTGCTATGCAAACTAAAAATGCCTTCAACTTAAAACTACCAAAAAGCTAGTTTCTCCCTTTTCGCATTACTGCGCCCCACATGATACCAATACTCGTACTTGTACTTGTACCCCATTCTGTAATCTTACCCTATCCCGTTACCGAAAGCCGTCAAACGACTTTCGAGACACATTTTCGTGGCGAATCAGATGTGCTTTGCCGCTCTATGGGGTCTTGGCAAGGCCACACCCCTATATTGTGGGACGTCTTGTGGTTGGAGCAGCTTAATCGATCTGAGCTTGTGTAAACAAACACTCAAGCAACAACAGTACCGAACTCGACAAACATGAAATGGCCACTGTCGTCTTCCGATGACAATTCAGGTCGGATAGGCCGATTCACCGAGCGCGTACGATCTGGGGAGCTGTTCACAGCGGAGGTGTTTCTCTCCCCGGATGTGCTCTTCCCCACGGTGGCACTCACTTCGGGAACCCTCGCGGCGATATACTTCTACAGCCACTATGTCCGGCGGATACCCATGACTTCGGAAATATATCCCTCCTACTTCCGGCGAAGGTCGTTGTTCGGGACCGTCACGAGCGTTGGGGACGGGGACAATTTCCGGCTCTTTCACACGCCCGGTGGGAGACTGATGGGATGGGGATGGATGCCCGGCAGGAAGGTCCCAACGGTCAGGAAGGACCTCAGGGACGTTACTGTGACCTACCCGCTTCAGGAGATTTGGGGTGCCAGGGGGGCTAATCGGTGATTTGCTACAGCTCCACCTCCGCATAGCAGGCATTGATGCTCCCGAAGGCGCGCACTTTGGAAAAACCGCCCAACCGGGTTCAGGGGAGGCGCTGGCATGGCTACGAAGCTACATTCTGAACCACAGGGTGCGCGCGTACATATATCGACGGGACCAGTACGAACGGGTGATCGCTTCCGTCAAGGTGCGCAAGGGACTGTCCCGGAGGGACGTGGGGCTGGAAATGTTGAAAGCGGGTATGGCGACGATTTACGAATCCAGGATTGGTGCGGAGTTTGGGAGTCTCGAGAGGGAGTATAGAGATGCGGAAGCGGCGGCGAAGAAACAGGGGATTGGAATTTGGGCGCCTAGCAAGAAGCAGTTTATTAGCCCTGGGGCTTACAAGAAGGAGTTGAGGGAGAGGGGGCCGTGAGGCTCTGGGTGTATTGTTGGCGGTGCTTTTGATAGGTGGCGATGAATAGGAATGATAAGAAAGAGACACGAGCGATGGAATTGATTTGATATTACTGGAATTTGGTGAATAATCTTAGGCTTAATGCGGTACCAAATACAGGGAGTGAATTAGCCTGATTCAAGTCTATAATAAATATGATCCAGCCTGATATCCTTGATTCCCCAGCAGGCTCACCCAGCCTGTGTTACTCGTAGTTGGAACTTGAGGCTGTACGAGTGCGTACGGCACTGTACTAGACACACAATAGCCTGCTAGTGGAGGATGTCCGGGTAGCTATTATATAATATCTTCATAGCGAAATATCATATAGTACACCCCGCACGGGTTTCTGCGAGAGCTCGGTGCGCAATAATATGGGCACGTGCCCCCGCTCCGATGGTCGAGTACAGTACAAGCATGGCCTTCAATTCAGTCCCGAGCCCCATAAACGCCCTCGGACTGCACACTAGAGCGGGGGGAGGGCAAAAAAATATTTTCAGGTGTTTTAGGTGCTTGGACTTACTAAAAATGTGAAGGTATTCTTGCCCCCCCCTCCCCCGCTGTGCTTGTACTCGTACAGGACCGCACTCTGCTCTCCACCCCGAAGTGAGCAAGAAATGATAATTTAGTGCTGCGCACCCAGAACTCACAACGACTACGTATGATACAAGTATGATATTTACTGTACCACAAAGTCAACACCACCGGTAATACGGGTAAGCGCACATCGCATAAACACCCCTCACGTTCATGCAGGGACCACCGTACTACGTATGATAGTTCATCCAACGCACCAATCATACTCGAGTACGATAGTAGTCCACCTTACATAATAATATTTATGTGAATTACCAACGTGGTCACCCGAGCACACTCCACCTACAAGTGCAGTACCGGTAAGTACAGTACAGTACTCGAGCAAACAGCACAACAAACAATCCGCACATGCCGTCCTCAGAGCTCGAAATACCGGTTACCCGAACGAGTAACCCCGTGCCACCCAACAATCGCCGGCCCATTGGTAGTCCGAGCTACTCGTAAAAAAACAACCAAACACCAGCGTTCCCGATTAGTTCGCATCGTGAAAACAATCATGCGAGCTCACTCGAACCTGTTACTCTGCGGGCGCGATCCCCGCGTTCTGCTCTCCGCATGGTAAATATGATGCTCACGGTGGTGGGGGTGTCACTACTTTTTCTGCTCGTGGCTGGTTGGGTCCGGTCGCCTGTTTGTTGTTGATGAGTTCGTGGTGTGGATACTATTATATGATAACTTACCTCGGTCCGAGAGGTACTGTACAGTACTTACCTGTATTTGTTGTGCTTTGCTCTGCTATGCTACGATATGATATGCACGGGTACCGTGCATTGGGGGCTAGGTTTGAGCCCGGGACTGGCCGTTTTATCACCTTTCTCTCTTTCTAATAGTAAAGAAAGAGATTATGAAAGGGGTGAGGGGGGGGGGG